AAGTCTTACAATATTTGGTGTTTACAAGAGGATAGAATTTCCTAGCTAAAAAAATGCTAGTTGTGATAAGAATCACCCAACCCGCGAATCGTTTAAGCAATTGTTTCACTACATGGATAGGGGAGTCCTTAGCTAGTATAAGTCATAAAGGCAACCAATGTTAGGAGTCTTTGATAAATATGACATGCCACTTTATCGACATATCTGGGTTATAAGTCCACACTACCAAAATAATTCATTAGACCGCCCAGAATAGTCAAGTGTTGTCATTTACTCTGGTCGATGATCCAGACATACTTGTCAGTTGTCTGATATGGATCCACCATTTTTGGTCATCCAAAAAGAGGAGGACTACTACGCTCCGCTCTGATCTCACATTCTACCATAGCATGAGACCTATTCAATATCCAACTTATTGGGAACTAAATTGTAACACCCCGTTCTTCGAGTGTTCAATTATAAGTCCCTGAGATTTAAAAGAAAGGTAATTCTGGTCCCTTTCGAGAAATGAGTTCATCCGAGAAGGTTTCGGGTGGGTGTATGTGTTGGAAGTATTGGGCTTCTCGTCACCCTCGTATGAATGTAAAGTTATTTGAGAGTGGGTTTAGATTGGAGGAGTTGTGGTGCCTCGAAGTTTATCATTGTTTATGATCCTTTGCGGAATAAGAAGGAAAGGGTCCCATGCATGCATGCTTGTGATTTTGAAGGGTGGCTGGGTACGCCCAGCGTAAGCTGGACGTACGCCCAGCGTAATGGGACGAAAGGTTGCGGGTAGCCGGGTGAGTTACGCCCAACGTACCAGGGAGGTACGCCCAACGTACTCTCAGAAACCCCAAACCCTATTTTTAGGGTCAACCACTATATAAGGAACATGTTGGTTCACCCCTCAGCCTCCTTATGCTCGTCTTCAACCTCAGAGAAACTCTAGAACTCATATCCTCTCATATTTAGGTGTGTTTGACCTTGGAAAGCTATTGTTGGCAAACGAAAGGCTTGAAGGAGAAAAGGGAAGTTGTCAAAGAAGAAGAAGAACGTGTGGAGCTTGTAGATCTGAAGAAATACCACCCTTTGGAGCTGGTTTAAGGTATAAAGTTTCTTGCTTGACCTTCATATGGCATAGATCTATGTATTTTGAAGCTTTGTTATCATTCTTGTCCCAAAAGTCTTCATCTTGTTGCATAGTTCGATTTGGTCAAGTGTATCTGTCCTTTCAGACCTTTGGAGAGGTCTTGAGTGATAAAAATGAGGTCCCAAGGGCTGTAGTTATTCCATTTATGAGTTATATGGGTCTTAATGGATTAAAACCTTGGATTAAGAGCTTAAGGACGTCCCAAGTGATAAAGTCTGAGACTTTATGATTTCTAATCATATTTGGCCTATGGATCTGTAGTTTGGGCTTAAGAGCTTAAGCCATTAAGATGTTAAAAAGGACTTAATGGATCTCGCAGTTATGCCCCGCGTAACCTTCGAGTACGCCCCGCGTAGCGGGCCAGTGCCCCGTTTTATGTTGGCGATATTGCAGTATGCCCCGCGTACCAAGGAGAGTACTCCCAGCATACTCCTCCCGTGGACTTTCTTTTGGGCTTTTGTGTTGGGCCATTTGTGGGTTGTTGGTGTTTAGGCCAAGTCTGGAAATTATGAATAGAGTATTTTGGGCCTAATTAATATTATGGATATTGGTTCTAGGACCATTGATGAGGTGGGCCCAATTTGGTAAATTGGGCCAATGTTAGACTTTGTGTGAGATTGGGACTTTGGTCTTGGCCCGATAAGTGGAAGTATGATTGACCGTATGTTTATTTTTGTGATGATGGTTAGTTCGGTATTTACGGTGAGTTGGTGATTCGAGAGTCGGCTTCTTCGGTTCAGAGTATCGGCAATCTCAAGGTGAGTTATCCTCACTATATCGATAGGGTCTACGGCACCAAGGCCGACCCTTTATCGGATGGAAATTCGGATAGTTGTCTGTTATGGTATTGCTTGATACGGGCCGCAAGGCATTATGATATGGGCCTGAAGGCATTATGATATGGGCCGGAAGGCATTCTATGTTATGTGGACCGGAAGGTCATGGCCTAGAAAGGCGTATGTGCGTAAGTAGTATTTTGGCTGAGACGTAGGGTGATGTTATGCTCGTGATCGGTTAGGTCGGTATCCTGGTTAGGGTGATGATATGTTATGTGATCTGTTGATCGATTTGTTGATTGTGAACTGTTATATGATTGAATGTTATGTACACAGGGTTGTTTGGACTGGAGTTTGACCTGGTATGCATGGCCGTTCTATGTTCTGTTATGTTATGTATGCTTTTAGGTTATGGGCCGGAAGGCAATATGTTATGGGCCGGAAGGCAATATGTTTTGGACCGGAAGGTCGTGGCCTGGAAGGGCGTATATGTGGTTGGTATTTTGGGGGCATCTCACTAAGCTTTCGGGCTTACAGTTGTGGTTTAATGTTTTTCAGGTTCTTCAGGAAGATGTGGCAAGGCAAAGGCGTGATCATACCGTTCCTCGCGTTTAGGTTTTATGAAATGGACCTGGGAATACTCTGATAAATAATGTATTGGAAACCTTTTTGTAATAATGTTATTAAAATGAATTGTTTTGAAAAGTTTAAATTATGTTGAAATTTTTGGTCGTTACATAAATACCTTTTACAAGCCTTATTATACTAATCCAAATTTATACTAAAGGCAATCTATGTTCTATATAGTTCCTAGTCAGCAGTACTATCATAGTTATATAAATAACACAGAATATAGATGCTAGAGTTAACAATAAATTTCATATCCTAGTAATAACACTTTTATTAAATTATAAACTTGATAGTAACTACATACTCACTTGGAAAAAGTAAGTGACTCAAGGTTAGGGTAGCGCTTCACCTTAACACTTTTTGAAAAAACCTAGATGTACATAACGCTAAGTATTAGTCTGGTTTCATAATCTTAACGACTATAGTAATAATAGTCTAGATTTCTCAATAATCTCAATGTCTACATCAAGATCTATCAAATAAGGAATAACCAGGTAGGATCATATTAGAGGTAAGGTCTGTTTGGTATACAAATTATATTGTTTGGAAATCCCAATTTAAACACCTCACTAAATTTAGCCTAAACATCACTCTCATAAGTAGATCAGTTAGTATAATGACTTGGAAGCACTGCTAAATCTTAATTATAGGTTCATAATAACTACTATAACTATAATTATAAATTATACTTAAAGCATAGTAAGTGTAGCTTTACTTACAAAGCTAACTGACAAAAATTGGCAATTATGTGGGCAGAACTTTGATCTGGGAACTTTTATTCACTGGTTATCTAACACCGCAGGGCTTCGTTAAAGTGGTTGGTAACTCGGGAGTAAAAGGGACTAGAGATACGAGAGAAATCCAAAGGTTTCTAAGTGAAAGAGGTGGAAAATGAGGTTAGAATTTGGAAAATATATAGGCCCAAAAAGTGAAGGCATGTCGCGCACGGGTCAACAGGGTGATGTTGCGTTTTCTGAGTGGTGACACGAGGCAAGGTTTAGGTGGGGTTGTGTGGCTATGTCGGTGTGTGTCGTGCCCTTGGTCGGTGCGCACGAAAACATTGATTTCTTAGCTGTCGACAAGATATACAACTTTTGTTCCGTCGTCTAATTCTCAATTTTTATTATTATTTATTTTTAGTAGGTTTAGCCTGCTAAAATCCATATATATATATATATATATATATATATATATATATATATATATATATATATATATATATATATATATATATATATAATTCTCTTTTATTTATTCTTTACAATTGTATGATAATATCACAGAATATGACTATACTTAGCGAGAAACGCGGAGGTTACAATTATTCCATTAACTATGTGTGACATGGACTATGTGAAACCCGCCATGAGGTTATCCATGGTAAAGGAGAAATTGATGGTATAATAAAACCAAATAATAAAAATTTATTGGTCAATTAGATATTAAAAGTTTAGTTATTTAAAAAACAACTAAAATATATAGGTGTCTGATTATGTCATTTCCCTTCTTTTTTTAATCAATTTATACAAAGAAACAGGTTTCTTACTAATTCAAGTAGAAGTTTTCCAAGTTTTTTGTTTACTAATTTACACAACCAATACAATAAAATAATACATAAATTGATAATAAAAATTGTTATATAAATTAATAAAATAGAAAACTAGACAACTATATATCGTCCTAAGATGCCCAAAATAAGGAAACAATTATACCCATGGTTGACGAATTAAATAAGATATTGGAAAGAATATTAGTTATCAACTGGATGAGATGGTTTGAAGCACAATAATTGTTTCTATGTAATAAAAAATCATCCAAATTTTCATAATAATTTTATACTTCAAATACATATATGAATATGAAAAAAAAAATAGAAATATTAATAGTCAACAAAGAAAATGCAATAAAAAAGTCTGATTGTTATTTAAATGTTCATAACAAAATATCAAAGAATATATGGATAGGAATTCAGAATCTCTCTCGCCAATAATTCCTATGATTACCAAATTAATAAGAAGATATGGATCAGGATGTCTCTCATAAGTCAGCATTTTTATTATTGATTTAATAAAAATAAATAAAAAAACAATAAATGCTAAGATTTTGAAAAAGATTGTTGCTAAATTAGTAAATATAATCGACATATGAATTCTTGACATTTAAAAATAAAAACAGCACAATGAAACATGATAAAAAGAGCCATTGTTTAACTGATTGTCTAAAACATTTGCAACAAAACGTTGATTATTAACGATAAATTTTATATTTTTTTTTAAATTTAGAAATCATAATTTAGTATCAACGTTTAATACTTTAAGTTGATAATCAAACTAAGGTATTATTGAAATTAGAAACTATATAATTTAAAGAAAAAATATTTGTTTACGAAAATGGTTTTAATAGCCAAAAAAATAAGCCTTTCGAAATTCATGATAATATTGTGAATATGATATGTCAATACATAAAAATTCATTTAAAAATAAATAATTTGAGAACTGTTATTTAGTACTTAATTTAATAAAATTTAATGAAATAAATCAATGAAAACACATTGCTATTTCTTGCATTTAACCCAAGATTCAAAATATGATTCAACATGTTTTACCCAAATCCATATAACAAATACACAAGATGACCATATGAGTATATGATATCATGAGTGATCCACTACTTTTCAGAATAAAAAAGTTCAAACATTGATTCCATTAATATAATAAAAATAATTACTAAGTTAACCATGGTTAAGTCCCAAATGACTGATTTGATCAGATTGAAATTGTCTTAACAGCTTCAGAGATTGTTGATACAGATTAAGGTCCATTCCATCTACATTTCTACCAACTCTTGCTTTTAATATCCCCTGCAAAAATAAAAGGAAAAACAATTAAAATGCAGTTTCTAATCTTGATGAGGATAATGAGGGCATTTATGTCTTTTACATATAGCTTTAATAAGTCAAAAAAATGGATAAGGAGTTGTAAGCTTATGTACCTCATTATTTGGTTGAATGGAAAGTTCTCCAATGAACTGATAAAGGGAACCCACACGAAGATTGAGTCTTAAGTGTTGAGTGTCAACTGCTAAGGTAACACCTCCATCAGCAATAATGGCAATGGCTGACTCAACATCATGTTCTTGTAACCTAAAATCAGAAAAGAATGTAGATTGTAGGATAAGAATGTAGATGAATCCACTGAGATCAAAAGATTTCACTCACTTTCCATTAACCCTAAGGGATGCTCCTTGCTTGAAATGTGAAGAAGACGGGTTGAGTTCTTGTAGAAGAACCAGGGCACCTGAGGGAATCGGAGCAGATGCCATTGAAACACCAGCAATTCACAGGAAATTCAGTAATGTAAGTATCCTGCAGTAAAGAAATTTGAGCAATCGTTAGGTCTTGTGAATGTGGCTTCTAATTTCTCGTTTCAGTTTTTAATGAAAAACAGCAACAACAACAACAACAATGGATAGTTTTCGAAATAGATATGAACACATAGAATGTTCTTCGATACTCGAATCGTTTTCAAATTAATATGAACACATACAAGGCGAACAATAAATAGAACTTCGTAAGATTAAGATCATGCGAATGCTTGGATTAATAGTGTCACAACTCGCAACAGCAACAAATTAAATATGAAGGTGAAGATAATCATGACACGGAATAGCAAATGCAAAATTAAAGAGAAGAAGATGAATTAGGGCTCGACGTATTTGTGTGTGCGTATGTGGCAGAGAGAGAGAGAGAGAGAGAGAGAGAGAGAGAGAGAGAGAGAACCTTCACCGGCGATTGAAGTAGGGCATGTTTCCGGTGGACCGTGACAAAAGGGATGCACGATTCATGAAGATCGACGCATAGCCCTTTCTACGACCTAGATCCGACCCGTATAGATATTGTATTTAGTGTACCATTTGGTCGTTTGGTCCTCACCGGAAATTGGCATTTGGTCCTCCCTAAAATTTCGTTTTAAGGTCCCTCAATTTCTATCAAATCCGTCTAACCTGTCTAGTCTAATGAACTGGACTGATCTGGTTCGGTCTAAATTATCACCTCTATGTCCAAGAATTGTGGATCGGACCTAGACCGCACAAGTTCGGTCAAAGATCCATCAATTTCTATAAAACCGGGTCAGTTTGGTCCAGATATTTCACCTTTATTCCGGATAGCCCAAATTCACACATTTGATCCTAGTATTAGATTTTTGACATGGAAGGTTATGGTCCCTATCAGGGTTGGCCCTTAAGGAGTGTAGGATGTGCGACTGCATAGGGCTTCAGAAAAAATAAAGTCTGAATTTTAACAATATATTTTCTAAACAACATGATATCTGCATTTTTGAACAAAAATTACGTAGTTCAGTTGGATAGAGGCACTCCTATCTTCAAATCTCATTCGTGAAACCTGTGTTTTGAAACATATAGATGTTTTTTTTTACATTATCCCTTGAAATGTTAAAAATACTAACACCAATTTATTTAGATGTTTGTATCAGGCATTGGTATAAATAATAACATGTGAAAATCATTAGTAATAAACGCAGTGACTGACTGTCAGGTTTAGCAAAAATGAGGGTTGTTCGAGCCTATGTTTTTGAAGCTTCATTTGTGTCCATGCACAAGTTCAATGAACTTGGGCTACGAAATCCAAGATTTGCACCATCATGCGCATGGATAGGTGTTGGAGTAAAACCATACATATAAGTTTTTAAGTGTGGTTTTTCTTCCAATGTGGAATTCATTCTCACACTCACCCCTCTTGCTAACTTCTATTCTCAAATACTCATTTTTGAATATCGATATCTCATTCACCCATATTGTATTTTTGACGTATGATATATCATTTCGAAGCTCTCACGAAGAAGAACACAAACTCACTTAGAGTTATTTATGTATACAACATATGTATATATTTATATCTGTCCAAAGTTACTAAATATATAAATATTTATACTAGAATTTCCAATAGATTGGTTAACAACGATAAAGTTTTAAATCCAAATTAATATGCAATATAGTTGGGTCAAATGTTAAAGGTTATATGTAAAAAATACAAGATATGTTTGTAGTTCTAAAATCTACATACCTATGATGATTATTTTGGCTCAAAAGTGAAATATTTCTACTTTGTATTTTATAATAATCACTTAATATTACAATCTATAGAAATGTTAAAATTGGGTGTTACAATTAGCACGATGATTTGTTTAACGAATTAGATGAAATTTTGGATATATTCGACGAGGACTCGGGTAATGATTCGAATGACGATGACGAGTAGGACGATTTCAAGTGACATATTTTGTTTTTATTTTTTTAAATTCAGATATTATGTAATTCTTAATTATGTTTTTTTGGACGGTTTTTTAATCTAGATTGTGTTTTTTTTAATATTTTTTGTTTTCTAGGTTTTTCTAATCTTAATTGTTTTTTATGTATCTTTTTTTAAGTAATGAAGTATTTTTATTTTAATTAGTTTGTGTTTCTTAATCATTTGTAATAAAATTATATTTATTTTTTTAATTATAAATATTAAAAATCAATTTTTTTTTAATTTAATAATAATAATAATAATAATAATAATAATAATAATAATAATAAAGATAGTGAAAGGTGACTATTTCCTGCATTTTTGTGAGTAAAATGAGAGTGATATGACGTAACAATCAAGAAGTAAAAGGTGAAAGGTGATCATACCCTTCGGTCTTATAAAAAACTAGTGTTATTAAGATAGTTATCTACATGTTTTTATAATAAAATGGTTAAATTGGTTATAACTATTACTATTAATATTGCTTCTTTAATGAAAATAAGCAGCTACCAGTGGTTAGGATTATAAGTCCAAACGTTTTTTAAACGAGTCATTACATCAATTGGATCATATCCAATTGATCGGAACAACGCTCTTAGTTCTAATCTTGATTAATTCAGTTGAAAGCCAAAAGTTTCATCTTATTCGTCATGACTTCTTTCCATCGAGCTGTTACTGTATTTCAAAATCACCTTCTTAATTTTTTATGAGTATTGTTCTTTCAAAAAAAATTTAAAACGATTGTGTTATAAATAAAAATTATTGAAATTGTATGGGTGAAGAACTTTTTGGTACTTGGTGAAGGCCTGCATAAAGTTTACATATTCAACCGGGAAAATATAGAATACATGTCAAAATGTTATAAAAAAGTTTAAAAATAAAAGTTTAATATAAACAAAACAGTTTTTAAGGTTCAGTTTGGCTTTCTTGAATCTTAATAGCTTTAGTATTATCCCACATCCAACAATTATGTTGATTGTTGAATACAAAACTATTTAGAATTAATATATATTTTTTAGAACGGCAATTAATATTATTTTTACTGTAGTGTGTCCTAAAATAAAGTGTATGATAATCATATATAAACAAATTATACGGTTTGCATTCAACATCCAAAGAGATGGATAGATATTAGTGAATGATTCAAATGAGACCACTTTTTTGTGAGACCCAAGTACTCATTGCTAAATTTTCCAAAAGAAAACGCACTCATTTCTAGTCACATATTTTGGGGTCAATTTCTTTTTTTGTTTAAATGATAAGAGAAAATCACAAGGCATCAATTTTTTCTTTCTAAAAATAAAAAAAGATAAAATAAAGAAAATAAAAAATAACATATCTGATTACGTAATTGTTCATCAATACAACTTGTAATAGAAGATTTTGAAACTTTACATTACATTTATGAATAAATTCCTATTAAGATATCTAACTTGAACATTTTTCTTTCTTGTTTTCCTTAATGTTAGAAGTAACATAAATCAATACTCTATAACTTTTATTTTCATTTTTTGTTTTATTATTATCCTTATTTACTCCTAAAACGCATGGCTATAAAAGAATCATTGAACGAATCACATATGCACCTCTACCTATACTTTCAACGAAAATGCATGTTTACCCGTTGAAGTTGTCGCTATTTACCAAGTAATCCTTGAAGACAAAATTTTAAAATAATAATAATAAAACTAATACAATTATACAAAGGCATGATTTCTTTTTCCACTTTCCATTAGCCAGGAACATTTATCAGATTCTTTAGAAGAAGAAAAAAAAAAGACAATTTTTCATGTTTGAAGTCCTTTGTTAAACGCCAAAATAAATATCAAAAACATGTATACAATTAATTTTCAAAAAAAAAAAAAAAAAAAAAAAAGCTGAAAAATCTCATTTACATTGTCCTCAGCTCAGATGAAATACAAGAGCTATTTACGATACCATCAATTTCCAATACGATTATATATATCAGATGACCGGAGTATTAGTATTATCCCGGTCATCTGATATCAGATGACTGTCTGGTAGTCATCTGTATTTGTGGGGCAAGAAATGAAACTTAGTGAAAAACTTGAGGTGAAGCGTAATACTCGCTTTCTTTAAACATGGGCCGTAGATCTTCTTTGCACATAAAATCGGTTGGAAAAGAAACCAAATGTCCCTTCACACCTTCTAATCTATCCATTGGATCAATTCCCTTCACACTTCCATCTTCATATGATTCAATACTCTTTGGAGCTATTCCTAAATCAATCGTAGTATGACCCAATTTTGCCTTTCTCTCACTCACACATTGCCTCAATGATGCTCTGCAAACATAAAATACCAACCTACTTTAACTTCCTTCTATTATTCAAGTGCAATCATGTAATATAAATTAAAAAGTATGCTGCTATTTCTTGCATTTTACCTGGAATGAATAAGATCGTTTGGAATGCAAGAGAAGACATCTTGGTAGATCGTGGTATTCATCTGTCCAAAACAAACATGATGATTAGATTGATACAAAAGACGTAAATGCCCCTACGAAGATTAGCTTAGGTTATACCTTTGCAGTTGCCATCCATATATCTTTGTAAGTCGAATCAATCACAGGGTCGGATATCTTATTAATCTGAGAAATGAAAAATTAAATTAAATTAATTAAGCATTTATATGATTTAAATTTTAAATTATATAAGTTATACCTCTGAAGTATGAAGACCGAGGTGTTCAGACCATAGTGAAAGGCGAAGACTCAAGGCAAATTTTCCAGCCTTCCATGGCTTCCCTCCCATGGAAGATTCAACTACTTCTTTATCTTCAATAAGCACTCCAATCTGAGGAAAAAAAGTTTTTTTTTTTAATATAAATTATAAAGTTGTGAAAGAAGATTAAAAAAAAAAAAAAAAAAAACCTCGGAATCACGTAATCCGAGCAAACTTCTGTCGTTTATGTTAGCGGATCCAACTAAGACTGTGTTGTCATCAACTATCATAACCTTGCTATGCACATATACCTGGAGAAAGTAGTAAATAAAAAAAAACAATTTTATTTTGATTATAATATAATCTTTTATGATATTTAGTGATAAGAAGTAAAGTAACTTACAGGACTGGAGGCAATGATACCATCATGAGAAAGTCTACCATGAGCTCTAAGACCATAGAAAGATATGTAGTCATGAACTCTAGGGCCAAGAACATCAGAGAGATTATGTAAAATAGAACTGTTTCCTCTTGATATTGTTCGATACTGCCAATGCATAATGGCTCTTACAGATGCTGCACCCACATCATCAAGCCCACCCTGGAACCCAGGTAACAGTGGAATGACGATAATAACCCTAAAAAATTGTTTTTCGTTATATGCCTTCAAGATACGCCTGTATAAGGATTCCAACACACGGTTTCGTATTATCTCGTCTCCAGAAAGACCTGAGATGAAGAATTGATTCTGGAAACAAAAGTTGTATTTTATTAAATTACAGCCAAAATTACCAAAATTCAAAATTACCAAAATTACCTCAATGTAGATGAAGTGTTCAGCTTTTTCAATAAGAGAACAGTAAGCTTTGTGAATGCTCTCTTCAACTTGACTTGTCCCAGCTGACCATTGACTCACACTCCTTAAAACCTAAAATTTAAAAACATACAAATTTAAAAATGTAATAATATATTTTAATTAAAAAAAAAATTACCTGACAGCGACAAGCAACACAAGGACCGACTTGACCTGTTTCATCAGCAGAAACAACCAAGTTACCACGCTCCTGAGTCTCCCACCATTCTTTATCAGAAGGTTTCATCATCATGCCACGTGGCGGTGCCACGTCAGCAAACAAATCTTTCTCAACATTCAAACTAAAACTAGCTCCCTCATCCACAAAATCTCTCAT